CGAACCTTATTTTGGCCCATTCTATGACTGTACCAAATTGCATCGAAATCGGTGAGACACAGTTGTGACACTTCCCTTGTGAGACTAATTTGGTATCCTACGTTAATTTTATTCATTCTGCCCTAAATGAAAACTCTCAAGTCGATGCTATTTACACAGATTATCCTAAAGCTTTCGACAAGATTGACCATACAATTCTTGTTCAAGAACTCTCTTCCTTTAACATCCCAAATGGCATCGTTCACTGGATTATATCATATTTATCAGATAGAAGTCAGGCAGTCAAGGTTGGTAGCTTTCTATCCGGTTATAAGTCCATCTCTTCTGGTGTGCCTCAAGGCAGCCATCTTGGACCAACATTATTTTTAATTTATATTAATGATATTGCTTCCTGCTTNAGTCTATTTGAAAATGTCAATTAGTTATTGAGATAATAATTTTTAAATTCATCCAGAATATTGAATTTCTAAACAATTTATTTCAGCATTTTTTTAAAAAATCACGAAAAATCGAATTCTTAAGATACATGGATGACACATTGATGTTTTATAGAAAAAAGCACGTACTTTATCATGAACAAAACCATTTTTGAAAATCTGTATCCATTTTTGAGATAATAATTTTAAACCGAATTCAAATTTTTAACTTTATGAACTTTTAAAAAATGATAAAAAATTTAACTCTTAAGATAACATAATATATTTTTAGTGATTTATAAAAGAAAGTGTGTACTTCATCGTGAATTAAACCGTATTTGAAAATATCAATTAGTTTTTGAGATAATAATTTTTAAACTCATTCAGAATTTTGAACTTTTAAACAATTTATTTCTGCGTTAAAAAAAAATCGTGAAAAATCGTATTCTTAAGATACATGAATGACACATTGATGTTTTATAGAAGGAAGTACGTACTTTTTGTGATCAAAACCGTTCTTGAAAATCTCTATCCATTTTTGAGATAATAAATTTGAATTCAGTTCAAAAATATTCAAAAAAAGACTGTTTAGCAAAACAAGGTTTTAATACATAAAGAAGTGGAGTTATTAAAAAACATATTTTCCCAAAAAGTAATTGTTTTTTAACATTTAGAATTTCTTTTCAAAAAAAATCTAGCAGGTAAACGCGCGAGTTCTTAAAAACTTTTTCCAAGAATGTTATTGTTTGTTTTATTTAAAAATAATAATAGTGATTTCAGTGAATGTAATGTTCATACTTAGTGTCTGGAAAAGTTAAAACACCTCTTATTAAAAAAATTGTTCGTAATAATGTTTCAACAATGCAGTTAAAATGGCAAAAAATTAAATTTTGCACGATTCTCGTAAATTAACGATATATCCGGTAAAATACATTTAACCATGGTGTCCAATGCTTCGATATTCAGAGAATTAAATGTTCTACAGGACAGAATAGCTAACTTTTTTGTTCATATATACCGTATTTTCTCGAATGTAATCCACCTTTTTTACAAATTTTATGTGCTCTAAAATCAAATGCGGATTACAATCGGGTGCGGATTAGATTTGCAGTCGTATAGTTGCAATTTGGAAAATAGTAAAATAAAATCACATTATAACAATAACACTTTATTAAGGGTTTTAGAACGATATTTACATTTTTATGTATCATTTTCTTCCCATATTACGTCATCTTCGGATCAATACAGATCAATTCGGATTATACAAAACTTCTTAAATGATGTTATAATATTGTTTTCAGGGATCGTTTTCCATGTCGCCTACACTCACTGAGCAAGTTCAGAAGCTCCTTTAATTGCTCCCGGTTTTGTTAATTCTCGAGTTTGTTAATATACATATACATACACAGGTTGTAGTATGGATGTTATTCCACCAGGTATTATTATTATNAACAAAAGAATCTACATTTTTATTTTCACTTTCAAAATCGTGATCTGAAGAATCACCAGAAGCATCGCTGTAATCGTCGTCCGTATCGGAATCTTCAGAATCACACATATATACATGTAATTTTTTTTTGCCATGTCCAAATGATAAGAACAAATCACCGAACAAAAGCGCAGAAATGTGTTTTAAAAGCGAACAGCGAATTAAAACGTGAAACCAGTTCAAACATGTGTTAGACCGAAGTCTATACTAGCCAAATATGGAATATACGTGGCGAAAATCGTCTTGCCTATTGAATATCACTTTAATTTCTAAGATGCGAATATATTCGGCATACCCACTTCGCAGCGACTTTCGTGATTTTGTGGTATGTTACGGCATCACTACAAAGACGGCGCTGACGAAGAGATAAAAGATTGAAGGATGAGCATGCGGAATCGTAATCAATGTAATTAACTGCGGACTTATGACAAAGGTACTTTACGAATTTCTTTTGAATTCTTTCAATTCTCGAAATGTATGTTTAATATTGCCGATTTCAAACGGAGCTACAAAAATTCAAAATACTATGAACATAAGCAAAATACAGAATTTTTATAGCATTGATTTCCGCAAAGTCTTGAGTGGTTCTCATAACGAATCCAAGCCAGCGCCATGCCTTGGCGACCACTGCACGAACGTGGCCCTCAAACATCAGTTTTTCGTCATATATGACGCCCAAATCTCTAATTTGAGTTACTCTGGGTATGGTTATGTCACCGATGTCGTACTCATATCTGATCACATTCGCCTTCCTTGTAAATGAGATTACATTACATTTTCCAGGATTAAGCGTAATAAAGTTTGACACTCTAGCAAATAATTTTAGGTCGTCGGCATACATCAAACACAGTGCACTATGAATCACCTCAAAGATGTCATTAATGTAAATATTAAATAAGAGAGGACCTAAGTGGCTACATTAGGAACCATCATAATGTTGGATAAATAACCACCGATGGAGACCATCATAGTTCTTCTTCATAGACTTTCTTTTCAAGGTTATATGAAGGTCACGACCAATTTTGTAAATGGCACCTTATATATTTTATGTACGGGTTTAGCCGTGCGTCATTAGGCGCACGGGTAAACCTGATACTTTCTAGTTCTATGTCTAGAGTTAGTTCTAGTTTTACACTATCACTAGAACTAACACAAGACCTAGAACTAGAATCATTCGGGTTTAGCCGTCTTGAGAGACGTGCGGCTAAACTCGAATGTTTCTAGTTCTTGGTGTAGTGTTAGTTCTAGTTTTGCACTATCACTAGAACTAACACAAGACCTAGAACTAGAATCATTCGGGTTTAGCCGTCTTGAGAGACGTGCGGCTAAACCCGAATGTTTTTAGTTCTCGGTATAGTGTTAGTTCTAGATTTGCACTATCATTAGAACTAACACAAGACCTAGAACTAGAATCATTCGGGTTTAGCCGTCTTGAGAGACGTGCGGCTAAATCCGAATGATTATAGTTCGCGGTCTAGTGTTATTTTGTAGTTTTACACCATCACTAGAATTAACACAAAACCTAGAACTAGAAACATTCGGATTTAGCCGTATTGAGAGACGTGCGGCTAAATCCGAATGTTTCTAGACAGCCGGCAACAATTCGAATTTTCCTAGTGTAATTTTTGCTTAAAACTGGCCAACAGCAACCCTTCTTTTTGGCGCTTCAATTTGAAAACATTCCTCCGAATTATAAAATAGAGTATAGAAACACCACATGTAGATTATATTAAATGCATAGGAACTCGTTAATTCTCCAAACTTTCCTTAATCCATAAATTTTAGAGAAATGTATACCATAATTTGAGACAGAGGGTAAATAATAAATATTTCAACAATACAAAAAAAATAAATCTATTNCTTATTATGGCAAATAAAATACTAACCAACTTTTGTATAAAATGTTTTTTTATAAAGTTGATACTTGCCAAGATATATACAATATTCCATACATAATGGGCACCCTGTATGTATAATTAAGCACACACCACGTTCGAGCTATTACGAGGGCAGTATATGAACTGAATTGAAAATTATATTTATTTTCCAATTTTTTTTGGCTTGGTAAATTTAAAGTCTAGTCTAATAAAAACTCATCGTAAGCAAGGTTTCTTTAGGCGCATTAGCGTCAGTCAACGGAAAAAGTATATATTTATGATCAACAACAAGCATGGTTTTGGTGTTGTCGAACTGCTCAAAGAAAGATGCGGATTACATTCGCAAACTAAATTTTTTTACCACTATGCATTTTTAAAATCGGGGTGCGAATTAGATTCGAGTGCGGATAAGATTCGAGAAAATACGGTAATTCTTTTTTGTTACGGTGCGATTAAGTGTAAAAAAATAGGAAAAATGCCAAAAAAACGGATTTTGTTGAGTTGTTTTAGGCTGTATCAAAATAACAGAAGATCCGATTAATACCATCAATATCTCAAAATATTCGTCTGGATCTCTACTTTCTAGGGATGCAACATCGCTCATAAAAACATCGATATTAGGACACCGAAGTTGCTAAGAGTGGCAAATATTTCATTGCTCGTTTATACAAACATGAAAATAATGGTCGATTATTTTATCAAACATCGAAGATAAAATATCGTTCATAATGAACGATATATCAATGTTTTATGGACTTCAACATCGATGTTTATGGACGATACATCGATACTTTCAAAAAATCGATGTATCGTTTGCATCCCTACTACTTTCATGTCCATATAACTAGAGAAGCACACTATACAAAATAAGATATATACTGAACATGAACCGTTACGTTTTTTAATTTACGATTTTCCACATTTTTGAGGATATCTCGAAAACTGTACGTGATGGAGAAAAACTGAAGACAGTTTCAGAAACATTCTTCAACATTTTTCTTGTAAACTAGTGTTAATGAAATTATTTTTTTTGTTTTTAAATAGATTGGGAGAAGATAGCTGTAGAGTACAACCCCACACCGATTCTTACACTTACACCTTCGCTTATACATTACTTTGGGACTTTCTACATTTATTAAGCGAAGCATCTTCGGCTGATTTGCGTTTTGAATACGCTGAGTGGTTAAAAAATAATAATTATTTAAACAAATTATTGGTACATTTATTTAAATTAATGCCCGGGGAAGTTTTATTTTATGTGCCTTCAGAATCGAAAATTAAGCCGTATTCGGATTATTTTAGAAGCAAATTTGAGTTATCAATGTTCGGTAATACAAAAAAAATAATAAAAAATGTACCTAATTTAATTAATTAATTGGTTTTAATAGAACCAACAAGTAGTTCAACTTTAGAAAGAATCGTTTGTTGGGTCTTTTTTATGTCCATGTCGCAATTACCAGCTTTCGTACGCCAATGGTGGACTGATTTAGAATCGAGAAGTAGTCAAATCGTTGAAAGGGTTACATCTGCATATGTTTCACCTCAATTGTGTAATGAGGAATTAGAGGATGTTGCGCAACATGAAACTAAATTCAAAAATATGGTGGTAAGTAACCAAAAATGATCCAATTAAATTAAATAAATAATTAATTAATTTTTTTAGATAAAAATTCATCCAACTGTACGAGAAGTTGTAGCAATTTACACTGTTGATGATATTCAAATGGATTTGGTGATAACTTTACCGGTTAATTACCCTTTGGTGGGGCCTGATGTTCAATGTAACAAACAAATTGCGGGGTCTTCTCATAAAAATTGGTTAATGCAACTCAAAAAATGTTTGAGATATCAGGTAAGAATTGTTTTATTAACCTTCGAGCGGGCGCGCTATCATAAAATTTATGACAATTTTCGTATTTATAATATTTCTCTTTATATTATGTATCAGAAGACGGACGGCTAAACCCGAAACTTTCTAGATATAGGTCTGGTTCGTTCTAGTTTTATACTAGCACTATCACTAGAATTAACACAAGACCTAGAACTAGAATCATTCGGGTTTAGCCGTCTTAAGAGACGTGCGCCTAAAGCCGAACGTTTCTAGTTTTCGGTCTAGTGTTAGCTCTAGATTTATACTAGCACTATCACTAGAACTATCACAAGACCTAGAATCATTCGGGTTTAGCCATCTTAAGAGACGTGCGGCTAAACCAGAATGTTTCTAGTTCTCAGTCTAGTGTTAGTTCTAGTTTTATACTAGCACTATCACTAGAACTAACACAAGACCTAGAACTAGAATCATTCGGGTTTAGCCGTTTTAAGAAACGTGCGGCTAAACTAGAATGTTTCTAGTTCTCGGTCTAGTGTTAGTTCTAGTTTTATACTAGCACTATCACTAGAAGTAACACAAGACCTAGAATCATTTGTGTTTAGCCATCTTGAGAGACATGCGGATAAATCCGAATGTTTCTAGTTTTAGGTTTAATGTTAGTGCTAGTGACAATGGTAGGTAGCGCTAGTTAGTATAAGAAATCATTATGTTGCATATTTTTATTGAACTAAAACTAGAACTAGCACTAGACCTAGAACTGGAAGGTTTCGAATATTTCTAGTTCTAGGTCTAGTGTTAGTTCTAGTTTTATACTAGCGCTATCACTAGAATTAACACAAGACCTAGAACTAGAATCATTCGGGTTTAATAATAAATAATAATAATCTTAATTTGTTTATCAATACAACACAAAAACGTCAAGAAAAGAAAACCAAATAGAAAAAATATCAAACAATAAATGACATGTAAAACAAAGAAAAAACCTTAATTGAAAATATTGCTACAGTTCAAATATTCATCATTCAAGAGTCGTATAGAAGCATTTTTTTGTTTAGCCGTCTTAAGAGACGTGCGGCTAAACCCGAATGAGTCTAGTTCTAGGTCTAGTGTTAGTTCTAGTTTTATACTAGCGCTATCACTAGAACAAACACAAGACCTAGAACTAGAATCATACAGGTTTAGCCGTCTTAAGAGACGTGCGGCTAAACCCGAATGATTCTAGTTCAAGGTCTAATGTTAGTTCTAGTTTTATACTAGCACTTTCACTAGAACTAACACAAGATCTAGAATCATTAGGGTTTAGCCGTCTTGAGAGGCGTGCGGCTAAACCTGAATGGTTCTAGTTTTACGTCTAATATTAGTTCTAGTGACAATGGTAGGTAGTGCTAGTTAGTATAAGAAATCATCAGCAGACGCACGGCATCCGCAAATGCACGGCTGAACCCGAATATTTCTAGTTCTAGGTCTAGTGTTAGTTCTAGTTTTATACTAGCACTATCACTAGAATTAACTCAAGACCTAGAACTAGAATCATTCGGGTTTAGGCGTCTTAAGAGCCGTGCGGCTAAACCCGAATGAGTCTAGTTCTAGCTCTAGTGTTAGTTCTAGTTTTATACTAGCACTATCACTAGAACTAACATAAGACATAGAACTAGAATCATTCGGGTGTAGCCGTCTTAAGAGACGTGCGGCTAAACCCGAATGAGTCTAGTTCTAACTCTAGTGTTAGTTCTAGTTTTATACTAGCACTATCACTAGAATTAACACAAGACCTAGAACTAGAATCATTCGGGTTTAGCCGTCTTTAGAGACGTGCGGGTTAAACGAGACCCAACATGGCTTTTACACGACGTANATGTATTTTGTTTTTTGTGTTGTTCATTAGACAAAATTGTTGTTAATTATATAATCAAATGATATTAATCTGAAAAAATTATTAAAAGAAATTAAACTGTTTAATTATTGTTAATTATATACACATTTTATTTTGTCCTAATATATAGTTGTTAGGACTCGTAGTTCTAGGTCTTGTGTTAGTTCTAGTGATAGTGCTAGTATAAAACTAGAACTAACACTAGACCGAGCACTAGAAACATTCGGGTTTAGCCGTCTTGAGAGACGTGCGGCTAAACCTGAATGTTTCTAGTTTTAGGTCTAATGTTAGTTCTAGTGACAATGGTAGGTAGTGCTAGTTAGTATAAGAAATCATTATGTTGCATATTTTTATTTAACTAAAACTAGAACTATCACAAGACCTAGAACTAGAACTGTATTCATATATTGCAACTTATATGAAATTCCGTAGAAAATTCCTAAATTATGTAGTTTGTAAATATTATTAGATTTGAAAAATTAATCGACTTCATTTTATGTTTTTAACAATTGTTTAATGTAAATTAAATATTTCTACCCTAGTAAATTATGTGTTTTAACAGTTTTATTAAAAATAACGTAATACATATTAATACGGACCTGGGTCATAAAATTTATGACACGCGACTACTCGTGTTATAAAATCGGGCGCACCCGCTCGGATGTAAAAAAAAATCAATAAAATCCAATTTTTGATTTAGAATGGAAGAATTTGGGATGGATTATCATTATGGAATACCAGTTTAAACAAGAAATTCGATGGTGTTGAAGAATGTTATATATGTTTTGCGGTTCTTCATCAAGGAACCTATCAATTACCAAAGTTATCCTGTCAAACTTGTAGAAAAAAGTTCCATTCGGCTTGTTTGGTATGCATTTATAAAGGGATAAATCTCAAAAATAAACATATTATTATCTGTTTTAGTACAAATGGTTTAGTACCAGTAACAAGAGTACATGTCCAATTTGCAGAAATTTATTCTAAAAAAAATAAATAGGAAATGGGGGTATTTATATAATTATTATTTCATTATATTTGTGATCTTCAAGTTTAGCGTGATGATGAGTTGTTACATATTTTGTCAAAATTTTAGAGAAAGTATTTTTATTCATGCTAAATCTAGATCATGAATGTCATATTTTTATTTTGTCTTGTTTTGAAACAACGTTTTTTTTTGTGTATATACTTTACAATAGAAGAATAAATAAAAAGATTTTTAACATATTGTGTGATTTAATTTGACCATAAAAAAATAAGCATCTTCTAGATCTTGCCATATTTATTAATATAAATGAAGGAGATCTTAGAGATTTAATCGCTAAATATTTAATGTTTATTATTATACTTTTAGAAGTACATTTGAGATGTTTGACTTGTGTAGGTAGTTGAGAAAAGAGCTTTTATTGGACGGAGCTGTATGATGGAAAGTTCTAGTTTGATGAGCAAGATTTTGAGAAAATTTAATTTTGATCGCTGATTTACCTCCCCACCTGGCTGACTCTGACTGTGTCAACTTATTTTTTTTTTTAATCTGTTGCCGATGTTGTTATTAAGGCTGACTCGGATTTATTGACTTTCTATCATACCAATCAATTAAATCCTGACTGTACTCCTTTAACCTTCAAGAAAGGGTCCATGGATTCTATTGAACGGTATCTGCTTTTGTTTAAGTCTACTACTTAGTGTTAGCTCGGATGATATTTCTTTAGATATGGTTAGGTTGTGTTGTCCTCGTATTTTGAATGTTCTCTGCCATATTTTCAACTTTTGTTTGATAATGTCGGTTTATCTTAAGGCATGGAAATGTGATCTGGTGACTCATGTTCCTAAAACGATACTAGTTTAAGAGTTTAAAGATTTGAGGCCTATTGCCATCCTTCTAGTTTTGTCTGAAGTGTTAGAGAAAATTACGACGGAGCAACTAAGATCCTTTTTAAATACTCATAATATACAGGATATCCCATCGGTTGTGGTATAGGCTTTTTTAACGTCTAAATTTCCAGGAGACTACAACAACGCACTGAAGATGCTAGGTGAGATCTTGGCGAAACGTCTGCCCCTTGTATGTGTATGTAGTTTCACGTGGGGGTGAGTTTCTTCACAGCACTTAATGCTGTGAAGCAATAATTACTGTTCATTGAAGGGTCAGAAAACCAGCCCAATCTTTTCATGAACGTTAATATAGAACAGAAAGGTATGTTCCTTATATCCGAAATTTTGAGCCATGGTACTCCAAAAATGGATTCCCTTAAGTACGCGAGGTTGGGACAGTCACAAACAATATGACTTACCGTCTCGTCTACCATTTCACACCCTCTACAGGGAGATGAATTCTCCAGCTTCATGTAGAACATGTGCTTACGTAACCTGCAGTGTCCGGTCAGGAAGTGGGTGAGAAGCCTCAAGTCACTTTTTGATTTTCCTAAAAACTGAGTCTTCCGGTCTGGGTAGAGCAGAGTTTTCTTTGCAAAAACACCTTCTGCGGTCTCATGCCATCTATCGCAAAAAGCTCGATGGGAGATGGAGTTTATCAGCTTTGATGCTGTATTAACAGCTAGTGGTACAAACGGTTCAGGGGAGATCGGTGACTTGTTAGCCGCCCGTTTTGCTAGCCTGTCCGCATGATCATGTTATTTAATTCCGATGTGTCCTTTCAGCCACTTTATTATGACGTTCTTGTATACATTTGCCTCCTTGAGTGATTGCCGACAGGACTTCACCAACAATGATGTAGTTTGATGTCTACCAACCGCCAGCATAGCCTGTCTGCTATCAGTACAGATTACAACGTTTCTGCCAACTTTTTTGGAATCGATGATCGTGTTGGCTGCTATGTTTATAGCAGTTATTACGGATGAATTCTCGAACCAACCACAGCAACACACACATATATACACACACCACAGCAACATATATATATATATATATATGTTGTTGTGGTCGATTTCACCTGGCATCTTCTGTGCGTTGTCGTAGTCAGCAGACTGCGACTGAGACTACGTCTATGAACATTCTCTTCACTTCCCTTTGAAATATTTTTCAAAGGTATGTATATATATACATACTTTACCATTGAGGTTACGGTACCAACTACTGTCGAGGGTATGAGGGAGAGAATCCGCGCGGCTTTTCGCGGTATATCACCAGAAGTCCTCAGGGCAGTGTCTAGAGCCTGTGAGTCGAGGTTGCGGTTATGCCTCCAGCAGGAAGGTCGTCATTTCGAACATTTAGTTTAAGTTGTTAAATTTTCTTTATCTGCATTTTTCATATCATGTTGAATAAATACATACTATTATGTTGACCGTATTTGTGTTTTTGTTTTCTCATGGCACACTTGGGAACGGAAAAAGTTTCCCGACAATTGCGATGAAATTCCTTTTTTCTCCGAAATTTTGTTATGCAATGTGTGATTTTTTTTTGTACCAATGGAAAATTTAGAGTTTTGGCTGTACAACGCCGTAATTTTTTTAGGGGGGTGCCATTTGAAATTTTCGAAAAAAATGACAACATGCGAAGATCAATCAAAAATTATTTTTTTTCCATAAATTACCCGTAAAAAAATTATGTGAAGGTATACGAGGTCTTAACCTGTCCCTCAATTCAAAATTTAGGCGCCGACGTCAATTAGTTTCTCTATAAAAAAATCTCAAAAATGGGGCGCAATTTTAAAAGAAGGGGTTATAACAGCTAAACCGCTAAAGTTAAGGGTATAACATGTTAGATAAAAAAATAAGTACTCTTCGAGCACTTTCCAAATCTGCAATAAAAAATAGGGCATTCTATTTAAAAAAACATAACTTTGGTACGCCATTGGAATACGGCACGCCACTGATGATTAGAAATATTTTTGAAACAAAGCGACGGTAATTATGCACCACTTTGCTCTTAGATTTTTTTCGATAGCTTTTATCGTAAAGGAGCTATGGTCCGAGGCGTCTTAAGTGCCACACCCTGTATATACAGGTGTTTCATAATATTTGAAATATACACAAAAAAGGTACTGTAGGTTATGACTCATGACCTACAGTACCTCATGAACTACACTTTAGAGCTCATGACTCATCAGCTCTAAAGTTGACCATTTTCTAGAAAAATCAACTTTTAAATCAATTTTTTGAAATAAAAATTTTATTTTACTATAAAACAAAATTTATGTAAACAAGTAACAAAAGCAAGCGTTAACTTCATAATTACAAAATAAAAAAAATGATTTAAAAGTTGTCTTTTCAAAATTCTCCAAACCGTAAAGGTAACGGATTTCGCACATTTCAGCGTTTGTGCAAAAAATTGTATAATTTATTTTTAACAAGTAGGCTTTAAATTTTATAATAAAAGCTACCTCCTGTCAAAATAACAATTAATTTATACCTGCAAAAAGTAAACTTGTATTACAAAATTAAAAATGAATTACACAAACGCTGAAATGTGCGAAATGCATTACCTTTACGAAATGGCGTGCCGTAATTCAGCAAAAACAAGGCGGTTGTATCAACAAAGACATCCTGATCACCCAGTACTACACCATAACTTGTTTCTACGCATTCACCAACGATTATGAGAAAATGGAAGTTTTAAAAGGAATACTGCTGATAATGGGCGGCCTATGGAAGTTGCAAATTCCCAAGTAGAAGAGGCTGTCCTCAACAAAATTGATGAAAATCCGACCACAAGTACCAGAAAAATTGCTCACAACTTAAACATATCTCACTCGACGGTTTGGAGAATTTTGAAAAGGCAACTTTTGTATCCTTACCATATCCAAACAGTACAAATCTTATTGCCAAGAGATTTTCCGAAAAGATTGGCTTTTTGTACATGGATGCAAGACAAAATTGTTCAAAATCCTAAGTTTGGATCCGAAGTTCCGTTTACCGATGAAGCATTTTTCTCGAAGGATGGTATTTTCAATTTTCACAATAACCACATATGGGCAGAAGAATATCCACATAAAATTGCAGAAGGCCATCATCAGCAACAATTTTCCGTAAATGTTTGGGCTGCCATCGTCGGTGACCATTTGATAGGCCCACATTTTTTACCGAACAGAAGTACTGCCGGAACTGCTAGAAGATGTACCGCTTCAAGTAAGACAAAACATGTACTTTATGCATGATGGAGCTCCGGCCCACTTTAGTTTGGTTGCTCGCCAATACTTGGACGACGAATACCTAGACCGTTGGATCGGCCGAGGAGGTCCGTACCCTTGGCCACCGCGATCTCCCAAACTTAATTGTTTAGATTTTTTCTTTTGGGGCCATCTGAAAACCCTAGTCTACGCTACTCCAGTTGAAAATGTTGACCAATTAAGAGAGGGCATTGTTGTATCTTGCGACATAATTCGGAACACTCCGGGAATTTTCCTGCATGTTAGACAGTCAATGCGTCGAAGAATTGCTGCGTGCATTGAAGCTAACGGCGGACATTTCCAACCTTTAATGTAACTGTGTATGATTTGTAATTGTTTTTTTTTAATTATGCAATAGACAACCTAAGCCTTGATGTCACAGAAATGGGCGGAGCTTATACTGACTCCAAACATTTTCGTTGCTAACTGTGTTGCTAACGGTAAATCACCATATGCAATTTTCCATTAGTGTTAAAATAAAATAAACTAAGTGATGACATTTCAAATGACATTTTTTGGCGATTNCCAAGTAGAAGAGGCTGTCCTCAACAAAATTGATGTAAATCCGACCACAAGTACCAGAAAAATTGCTCACAACTTAAACATATCTCACTCGACGGTTTGGAGAATTTTGAAAAGGCAACTTTTGTATCCTTACCATATCCAAAGAGTACAAACCTTATTGCCAAGAGATTTTCCGAAAAGATTGGCTTTTTGTACATGGATGCAAGACAAAATTGTTCAAAATCCTGAGTTTGGATCCGAAGTTCTGTATACCGATGAAGCATTTTTTTCGAAGGATGGTATTTTCAATTTTCACAATAACCACATATGGGCAGAAGATGTTGCATATCAGCAACAATTTTCTGTAAATGTTTGGGCTGCCATTGTCGGTGATCATGTGATAGGCCCACATTACAAAAAGTACTGCCGGAACTGCTAGAAGATGTACAGCTTCCAGTAATAGAAAACATGTACTTTATATATGGTGGAGCTCCGGCCCACTTTAGTTTAATTGCTCGCCAATACTTGGACGACGAATACACAAACCGTTGGATCTGTCGAG